CAGCAGGGGAGGGCAGTAAGGGGTGACCAGGCCAGGAGGGGAGGGCAGTTAGGGGCAACCAGACTGGCAGGGGAGTGGTTAGGGGGTGATTAGGCTGGCAGGCAGAAGTGGTTAGGGGCAATCAGGCAGGTGAGCAGTTGGGAGCCAGCAGTCCCGGATTGTTGAGAGAGGGGGATCGGGCCTAAACTGGCAGTCAGACATCCCCGAGGGGTCCCAGACTGGAGAGGGTGCAGGCTGGGCTGAGGGACAACCTCCCCCCCCACCACCACCCATGCATGAATTTCGTGCACCGGGCTTCTAGTGTGTTGTATAATTTGAAATAAAGGTGTATAGTAGCCTTATGAAGGAGAGCATTATTACTGATACAAACCATTGTGAATGGGTGAAATTGTTAAATGGATAACATTGATAAAGTTTTCATGCACAGGCAAAATGTATTCACCAGGTTTCTAGGTAGCAGTCTGCTTTTACTTTGTAATTTGTAGTCCTCAAAAGACTTTAAAAAAAAATAAAGTCCAAAGAAATAAAAATAAAGTCCATCCTTATACTTAGGTTATATATGTCAGTCTTCTTTATTTTTTTCTAAATTCCATGTTAATGTCCAGTGGTAACACATACATACATATATGTTATATATTGAGGCGTCTCTACTACGTAAGCAAGAAATAATTGCTCTTTTCGTCCTAGCTCCCAAACTGTGAACACCTACACAGAATTCTAATGTAGCAGAAACTAAATGAACATTTCTAGAACCAAATCATTGCATGTTACTGCCATTCAAAGAGTACCCCGTTCTGTTATATACTGTTTTTAGTGAAAGAATGTATAGTCTTCCAGAACTACATTATGATCTTTGTCTGATCATAGTTTTTTTCTTCATAATGACAAGGTAGTGTTTACTTACCACAATATTATTATAAATGGATAAGTCACCTGTGACAGTATAAAGAAAGGAAATGCTTTCTGAAAAGACTGGAGATGTTCAGTTAGAATTTTAAGTGGTAATTTTGAAATTCATTTGCCAATGCCAACCTATGGTCTCAAATATAAAATTTTTTAAATTGATTTTTAGAGAGAGAGGAAGGGAGAGGGAGAAACATCAATATGAGAGTAGAACACCCTGTATAGGCCACCCACCGGAAGGGATCATCAAGCGGCATCCTGGGCATGTGCCCTGACCAGGAATCAAACCAGCAACCCTTCAGTGCACAGGACAACTCCCAACCAACTGAGCCACACCAGCCAGGGCTATGTAATTCTTAATAAAGATGTTTAAATTGTATTTGTATGATTGGATAAATGTTGATTTCCCTAAGTTGGTGCCAGTTTCAAAGGATAAGTCTCTTAGATACCATAATTAAATTTGTGTTTACCGCTGATCATAAGTTTCTTAATCTTAATTATTCTGGAGTACTGACCTAGAGACATTTATTATGCTGTTCTTATGAAAACTCCAACAGGACATTCTGACAGAGCATAATGATGGCGATGACAGGAAATGCATGTGACTAAAAGATTTACTTCTAATTTCAGTGTTTTTCAAAGTTCATTGTCACCCTTCCCTAGGAAGCCTCTTCAGACTTCTCTAATAGCACCCCAATATATTTTATTATAGATTGGAAAAAGAAAATACAAAATTAATAAATACTAATACAAGAATAAACTGTCTCGCATCTCACATCTGTAAACCTAATTTTGCCCAACTCTGTAAACCATCAGAATAACTAAGGACTGGTAACACCTACTTACCCAAGAGCACAAAGTTAGCAGCAGATCTGGAAAGACTTTGGAGTTCTGAGATATTGGTTATAGTGCCCCAGACCAGACAGCAGGATGGTATAGAAAGAGCACGAGGCTTTAAAGTTAGACAAACAGGAGGTCAAATTCATCTCTACCACTTACTAAGTGACCTGGGTCAAGGTTAACCCTTTGAGTGCCAACCAATATCCTAGGAACTATGCTAAAATTGCCAAGGCATTTTTGCTGATTTTACAGCAGTTTAGGAAAAAAATTATGAATCGCAAGTAAATGAAGTTACATATTCAAAAACTTAAGGAAACCTTTACTACATTGACATATTTAGCAATATCATCATCACTAATAAAAGCAGACTTAGATCTGGACGCCATTTCGGAGCTTTGATAGTGCTCCTGGCACTTTTGGCGAAAGATAGGAGCGCGATCGCGCTCCGCGGCACTCTAGGGGTTAAATTACCACTCCAGTGCTAATCTCTATCACAGAAATCATGGCGATAACTATGCATGTGAAGTGCTGGGTAGATATGCCAAAGTGCTCATGAGATGACAAGCTATCCTTCCTTTCTCAGTCTACCTAGATCAGTAGATTTAACTGTGTTTTTCCATTGTTTCAAAACAAGCATTGATTGATAACATTTTGTCTATAGATTTTTTTTAATCCTGAAAACTCTAATACTGACCCACAACCCATATCTACAATTCTGAAAAAGCTTTGAAAATGGAGAGTGTATTCCTAACCCATGTGGTCACTATATCTGGCTTGACCTGAACTATAATTTAAGGAGCCAAACCTGGCTAACCTATTTATAGTACAGTTTATTGATTCCAGTTACATGAACACTGTGTGAATATCTATTCCATCTATGTGAATACCGTTTCACTGCAGAAACACAAATGTGTTTGATTTGACAGCACTGCCTCAGATCTTCCCCCGCTAGGGGAGATGATACAAATGTCACATAATAGCATTATATGCCCTGCATTTCCTTTTCAAAATCTTAAATCTAAATTCCTGCATACAGAAGTACCACTACAGGTGCCCTACATGCAACAATGACTTCCTATACGAGTTTATGAACTGGGTATTAATTTGTCATTCCTTTCCCTTCCATCACTCTACACAATACACACACACACTCCTAAATTCCAAAGTACTGAGGCTGAGTTCACTGCATTAGGTGAGTTATGATTTCTATTGTTACTTTCCTGGGCTTTGGTCTCTGATCATCCACTAATTATTTATGTTCCCTTCTACACATATTCAGGCCTCAATATCCTTATGCATAAAATATCAGGTAAACAAGCTTGAAAAATGTGTCTTCTAGAAAAATAAGATGTCAGTAAAGAGAGCAAAGTGGCCTCAGCACAATATGAAGAAGTAAGTGGCTGGTTTGTGGAAGAATTTTCATGACATCAAAATCAAGGACAGTGTTCCAAGATTCCATAGAGATGATATCTCTACCATGTCAACAATCCCCTTCCAACACTCTTTTTTTTAAAAAGCAATAAAAGAAAAAAATGATCCATATATAGCATATGCCACCTCTGGGCAAAAATAAAAACAAAACAACTATTCTTAAGTACTTGTGTTTCAGTTTCAAACTTACTATGACGTTTAAATTCCTTCTGTAGTTTGCTGATCTGGTTGCTTTTTATCCTGTTTCCAGATAGAGTTTTCACTTTCTTTGGTTTCAGTGTAGTCTTCAGGCTGGGTCCTGCCCTTGCATCTACCACCTGGAAGAAAATACTGAATATTTAATACCATTTAAAAAATGACACCTCTGTATTCCTTTGGTTCAGACAAATGCCTATTTGAAGGAGCCCAATTTCAGAACCACAGTTTTCTATTAGAGTGTTTGAGAGTCTGTGTGAACCTTTTTTTTTTTTTATCATTACAGGAAATTTAAAAATAGTTTACCTCTAACCATTATGCTGTACACCTGAAATTAATATAAAATAATATTGAATGAAAACTGTAATTGAAAAGTAACATTTTAAAAATAAACAAAAATTACAGCACATCAAGGAAAAATAAAGAATAGTTTATATAGTGGGGGTTTGTTTGCTTGTTTTTTAAGTAGGTAATAGTAGGAGTCTGCTGGACAAAGACTTTAAGTATGGTGAGAATGGCCCATGGAGGTTAAGAAAAATCAAATCTAACAACTATCATTTCTATAGGATGTTTTGTAGTTTATAAAAAGCTTTCATATACTTTTGATTTTACCTTCACCACATAGCAGTAAGGGGGTTATTTTTGTTACTCCAATTTTAGAGTGAGGAAAACAAGAGAAATTAAATTATTTACTTCGCTTTATTTCACTAGGCTAGTGAAAAGGGCAGGGTGAGTGGGAGGGGAACAAGACTCAAATCAAGGTGTTCAGACCTATGTTGTAAACTCTTTTCACTACCCACCCTTAATCCCCGAGGTCAGTTAAATGACGGCAATGCATGTTCTCCCCCATCTAGCATGGACACGGGTTCAGCTCGTATGGTCCCATTTCTCATGCACTCACTCATATTTACTAGTTGCAGATTTCTACCCTTATGATGAAAGGTTGCCATCACCTTCGAAATCAAAATTTGGATCTCTTCCAGATGAGGCATTAAAGAAAAAACCCTTTTTTTAATAAGTTAACAGACCCTCAGAAACCTACCATTATAATGTAAGTCACCAAAGGATAGTGTAAAGCAAGTATAGGGGAAAAGGTAAAGAATAAATGACTGCCCGCTTAAAAACAAATAAGTTGTATAAATGTCATAAATCTTCTGAAAGCTAGCAAACAGAAGAATTAACTAAGACTCAGTGCTGTTCTGGTCAAATATATCTTATGAAGAATTCTAGTGAAATTATAAAGTGAAAGGTCAGAAGAACACACATTTATACACCAGTTTGACCTCAACTAGATTTAAACACAGAGAGTAACAACAGCTTTCATCTAATTGAATGATTACTATGTTACACTTTGTCTCATTCAGTTCTCACAACCGCTGAGACAGCTATTATCTTTATGCTCTACAAATAAATGTAACTTGCACAAAATTCACAGCTAGGAGGTGATAAATCCAGGCCTGATTAAAAACCTACAGGCTCATTAGTACCAACAGGAGTTAGGATAAATGTCATCCTGAGAGATGAAAAAAAGGCTCATCTGATTAACTCTAGGAATTTCTGAGTTAAACATAAAAATATGTGAAATGTACATTGAGAATTTCTGGGCGTAGTGGATACAGCCTTAGGGAAATGCCACACCAAGCTATTTTGCTTCCAAACAGACAAAATGTAAACCAATTTTATCTAAGTGGCAACTGTTTTTCTTTATTCTTTTCATATTTTTCCATCCTAGGAACATTATTACTTCCTACATAGGGGGGAAACTAATGTTACTTTAAATATAACAGGTATAATTGAGAAAGATGACAGATGCACTAACATGATTCCAGTTTTTTTTGGATCCTGCCGGCAATTTCTTCCATCTTTTCACAAGCAGGACACAGGCATTACAGATGTCTCCTGAACGTGTCTCATGCAACCTGATAAGAAAACAACCAAGCCTTTATTGGTCTCCTTTACATTAAAAAATTCAAGCAAGTACATTCCTTTTAGAAAAAAAGTTCATAGATGCTATTTCTAATCACCCGGGATGATCCAATTCCATTGTTTCTGTAGTATATTTAGGAAATATAATTAACTTCCAGATCCAATGAACCAAATTTTTATACGCTGCAAAATAATGTTTTAAAATTTAATAATAGTAAAATTTAGACCTAGAAGAGATCCTGGTCACCAGAGTTTTAAACAATTAATCTTTCTTGAAATATGTATAGATGCTTCATAAGCAACAAAATGCCATCCTTTAAAATAACATGTGATGGCCCTGGCTGGGTGGCTCGGTTGGTTGAAGCGTTGTCCCATTCACCAGAAGGTTGCAGGCTGAATTCCAGTCAGGGCATGTGCCTAGGTTTCGGTTCGCATGTGGGTTGGGGCGAGTGCAGAAAGCAACCGATAGATGTTTCTCTCTCTCTCTCTCTCTCTCTCTCTCAAAATCAATAAAAAACATGTCCTTGGGAGAGAATTAAAGGAAGGAAAAAAAGTAATAATAATAAAGGGGAAAAAATGTGTGATGGTATTCTAGTTTCACAACAAACAAAACCAGAGGCACTGTAATTTTTTAAAAGTTATTATGTACAATGGACACAAGACACTGGGGGGTAGGGGAGGCTGGGGGAAGGTCAAGGGGGAAAAAAGGAGACAAATGTACTGCTCTGTAATATTTTAAGCAATAAAAAAAATGTCTTAGACAAAAAAAAAGTTATTATGTCTGCATAAGGGGAAAAAAAAATCTATGAAACTAGTCACCAAGTTGTTACATCTCTGAGGAGCTTCCATTTATTACATTTATCCTGAATTAAATACATCAGAAAAATACTGATAATATTTATTATGTACACAACTGGAAATGAAGACATTAGGAGGAAAATGTAATTTAAAAAGGCAAGGTCAATGGACTCTTTTTGACAACCCTGAAAATAAATACAAAGTCTAGGATTAATAATAAATAATCAACAAATGTTTTGATAAGAAAAACAAAGTGGTGAAATTAATTTCTAACACGGGAACTAGTTCAACATTATGTATTTTATTTCATCCAAGGGTTTGTTGGAAAGTAAATTCTACTTCATTAAGCAGTGAATTATTGTCAAAAGATAACGAAGAAAATTTATATAAAATAAATGCTAACATACCCTGACAGGTTTCAGGGCAGAACAATAAGTCTTATTACTATCCTCAGCAGGTTAGGTTAAAATATATTCCTATAATTTAGAAAAACAATATAAATGACAGAAAACTACTGGAGGATAGCAATTATAAGAGAAAATAAGGGTAATTTTTTAAATCTCTTTATACATACTGAAATTAATGAACAGAAAGGGTTTATTTAGTTACAACTTTGAAGTTGGTTCCAATTAATTCGGTAGTTCCTCACAATCTGAAAAAAGGTAGGCTGTCAGTATGTTAGATTGCCTTTAAGAGCAAGGGCCTTAAAACAGCCTAGATTAGAACATAAGTGATTTTAAATATTAGCCACATTGCTCCAATCGCCTTGCTGGGAAATATTTCTGTATGCTGTGACCTATTTCACGCTAAGAGTGGTACAAACATCCGATGATCTTACCCAAAACAGCTCTGGAAATCCTTCTCATAGCGCTTACTGTCCGTGAATCGAGAACTGGAGGACTTAGCTCTGCAAATACAGCAGCCTTCTATACTTCGGTACATCTTTGGCTTGTGAAAACCAAACATCTTTTCTTCTAGGCAATAGTCTGTAAAGCCAAGGGAATTGACACAGCTTGGTTGAGGGCTATTAACAAGAAACCACTAAAGGAGAGAGAGCTCTCTGCTCCACCCCACCCCCAGCAACTTGGTATTACACAGCCAGGCCAGAAAGCGGGGCTCTGGGGAAGACCTCTAGCATCTTCCTCCATTCTTGGCACTAGCATGACAAGGGTATAAAACACACAGAACAGCTCAGCTATTTAACAAGGCCTCTACCATCTACTCCTACCTTCCTGGCAAACACTCATTCTAAAAATAGGGGATGGGAGGCATTTTTTTAAAAATCAAGTTTTAAGTAGAATATACACCTCTGTCCGCAATCCTATAAAAACGATGGAATCATACGCAAGGAAGGGTGTGCCTTAACATTTAAGCTAAGGCGCCACCCTTTATTTTGCACCTCTGCATTCGTGTGATCCCCTCTGGGGAAGTTTTGAGCATTTACCATGACCACTAATTATTTGATCCTAAGCATACAAGTAACGCATCAACACACACAACTTCTGCCCTATGGGAGACGAGAGGGGATTTCTTCTATGACAAATGGGAAGTCCTAAACAGGCAAGTGGGCCCTGAATTGAAACTACAGAAAGGAGGATGTAAAATTCACAAAAATCCAGGGTTGGACTATAAGAGCAATAATTTCATATATCATGAAGTTGAATTAAGAATAAGCTCATTGGTCTGCCTCACAGTTGTTACAGAGGTTTTTCGAGCTTTTACCAGGCTCTGTGCCTGAGCACAGTAACAGTGGGACTGGGCAGGTGTTCAAGAAATGTAGAGTCATATAAATTGTGATTCCGATGATCAAAAAAATCTTAACATCAAGCAAGAAAGGAAGAAATAGCTCTAGGGCTAGATACAGCAAAAATGTAGCCGACAGTAGTAAATGTGCACCTTAGAAGTAATTTAAAATATCCAAACCAAGGGCCAGCTTTACCAGAACATCTGGACGAAAAGAGGTGATGAAAAGGCAATGAATATAGGAACTAAACCCCAATGGACAAGTCCAGAGGGTGTGGGTGTAAGAGACCAATTACAAATTATCACAAAAGCATCATATAAAATAAAGTATCAGTAAGAGAGATTGTGCCCATAGTTTTGAGACTTATAACCACAGAACACAATCCTCCTTTTAAAGTTCTTTTTAAAATGTATGTGTAAAACAAAAACTTCAGTATTTGTCTTTGAATAATCTCTTGCCTGACCCCATTCCATTCCAATCCTGGTTACTATACCAGAGCAAATATTTATGGAAGTGATTCAGAGAAATAACCAAATATCCAGGCATTTTGTTTGTGTGTGCATGAAATTGAGGGGTTCTGAAATACAGACAGAGGCTAAGAAAATATTTTATTAGCAATTCATTAGCTCAACACTGGAGCTTTCCTTTTAAGCAGAGACTACTGTTCATCAGAAGTTCATTAATGTTTTTGTTGGTGAGGGACACAGGGATGGAAGGGAGATGGGATGGGGCAGAAGGCCCCTGAGTCATTTCAGTAAGTCTAAACAGTTACTTCAATTTAAGAATTGTTAAAACAAGAAAACAAAATATTCTTAACTGATTAAGTAAATAGTTGTTAAATGAAATACTTTGGAATTTTATTTTTTTTTAGAGGAAAAAAATGAGGAAGGTGCTCTATACACAGCAGGAAAAAGGTGTAGTGAGGCCTGTGAAAAAAGGCAGATATTTTTCTTCAAGCTAACAACCAGGCTTCATGACAAATGAAAAGAAAATGCCCTCCTGAAGAAAACCATTGCTTTGGGAAAAAAACAATGTCAAATGACACAGGATCATAGAAATGTTTTAAAAAGTGCTAAGAAAGTGTAAGTTAATGCTTTAACTTGCATATTCCTGTTTTGCAGCAAAAATGAAACACAACTCTCTGATCCTCACACCAACCTGTGGGCTCTCAAAGTCCCCTAACCCTCCATTACCACCAAGAAGGTCAAAAGTCCACAGTTCCTCTTACGGTTGCCAGCTCCATCAATAGCCCTAGGAAACTTCAGCCTCCCTTCTCAGCAAGGACAAAGGAAGTCCAGCAGAAAGGCCAGTTCATTCCATTAACACACAGACCAAATCCTACTACAAAAGACAGATTCCTATCTCTACCCTCACAATCCCGTCCTCCCACAAATAAACATGCCATCAAAACTGTACAGCATTCAGATCATCTCCAATATGTGAACTACCTTCACCGAGGCTGGATCTGACCAAGAAGCCAGTCATCAGGCTGACAAGCTGCTAAGGAATGCACGGGCTCTAGCCTTCTAGACGGAGGAAACACTGAGGTTTCCTTTTCATCATCTGCTACGGTGAATCGGTGTGTTCATTTCCAATGATTCCTTTTGTCAGGGGATCTCCACAAATCGTGCCCAACGGTTCCCCCCTGCAAGATATTTCATTCTTCAGTTTGAAAAGTCTTTTTCTTAAGATATCTGGGAACATAAAATAGCTTGATGTCTTCTGATTGGTAAACCTTTATGCAGCTCTGTGACCTTAGGTTTTTACTGACAAAAATTCTTCTGTCTAAACATCTGAGGGGAATCTAAATCTTAGGGTTCACCCTCTTCTAGGAAGTGCTAAATTCAGTAAAAGTGCCAGACACATGTCCTAATACAACAGACAAGTAGTGCAAGGACCTTTTAAAGGATGATTATTTAATAAACCCATTAAAACTTTTCTGAGCTTATTTTAGTACTTGAGAGGCACCTGGGAATCTGCAGTGAATACACAGGGGTTTCACTTCGGGCTTTGTTTACAGCAACCCCACCAAGTAATGGTTGGCTTTAACCACTGTGAGCGTTAGGGAGCCCCGAGATTAAATGAAAAATTTTTCACAAAATCTACAGATGCACTAAAGCTTTTTTAAAAATTAAAAACAAAACAAAAAAAACCACCTACCTGATCTGTGGAAGGAAACCAAGCACACAAAATGGCTCTGAAACCAAGTTACTTTGTGTGTGTCTGTGTATGTATGCACACACCCGACAGATTAGATAGATAGATGATAGATAGATAGATAGATAGATAGAGAGAAGGTGGGTGTGGTACAACTTGATTGTAAATTTGGGATGTCTGTTATTTCAACAAACCTATAGTTCTTTAGAATACTTCTTTCCTAGTCCTGCATTTATGCAATATTAAATGACTCCTCCAGAACAATCTATTTTATTTGTTCCAATGGCACTGTCAGCTACTAAACTTACTCATGACTTTTGCATCTTTCTCACAGCATCATGTCACTCAGCCCTATGTTTTACCAGTAATAGAAGAAAGCTAACACCATCTGCTTCCTAATTGGTGAACAGTTACACATGAGAGTGGACCCCATACAATCTCACCCTTATGTGGGTGCTTAGGGAAAGCAGAAGAAAATTAAGCTTTGAGATAAAGCCAAAAATAAGGAAAGACTTAAAAATGCTGATTAAAAACTGTCATTTGTCTTCTAAAATTCAGATAGTGGTGATGGGTACAAAATTCTGTAAACATACTAAAAGCCACTGAATTGTACTCTTTTAGAGTAAATTTTATGTTATGGTATGTGAATTATTTCTCAATAAGCTTGTGTTTAAAAATAAAAATAGACCGGGCTAGGAATTCTTCTGTCTTTATTCATCTTTGTAACCTCAGCATCTAGAGTAGTGCCAGTCAGTAGATACTCAATTAACGTTTTTGAAAAGCTGTCATTTGTATAATGTTCTTCATGTTTTTTGAAGAACTTTCATTGACTTTTTTTTTTTTTTTTTTTGGCTACTGTCATCCAAAGAGCCACAGAATTTTACAATACTATAACAGTTAAAGACAAATCAGTCACACTAAAATTGCTATTCTGTCCAATTTAGTTCAATCTCCCAAAGTTAAAAAGATTACATTTAATAGCTAAGTCAGAAAACACCTTATATTGACAAAAGTGAATTGTTAAAACATAACAATTAATTTGAAACATGTTTTGATTGATTCGTTGAGATTTCTTCCACTTTAAAGCTGTAATTTCATAAACATCTAATGATCAACTTAATGAAACGATGGGGAATGTAACCTTAGTGTTGAGACAGGAAAAGGTGTGGTGACTACAAAGATACAAAAGAGACAATTTAAAACAAATCTAATGAGATTATGAAGCCAAAGATCAGGGTCAATGTCGTATTTTACATTTAATGCAACACACATAAGGTGAGTTTACTGAGTGGAATATAACATAAATGGGAAAGAAAAGGAATCTTCACAGCAATAGCCAATACTGAAGGGATATTATTCAAGGAAAAGTCTTGTGATAAATAACTCTAAGCTCAAAGATGATCTCTTAAAAATTTTCAGCCCTTAAAAAGAATGCAGTACACATCTACAACATGTGCAGGGAGGGAACTAGCCAAGATATTTTGTCCTGTGCAATAAGCAAGTTGAACCATAGTTATAAAGTATAATCCCATGGCATTTTTAAAAAAAATGAGATCTCAAACTTTAAAAACCTGACATTTAAAAATGGATTTTTAAAAACTGGTAGCTAGTGGTTGCCTCTGAGGGGGTGCAAGAATGAAGGAAGTTTACTTTCACTTTACTCCCTTTCTATATTGCCTTTTTTTTAATACTGCCTTTTTTAAATTCAAGAGTACCATGCCCCAAACCCTTAAGCTACCATCACACCTTGACTTAACTAAAGAGGAACCTGAAAAGGCTTAAACCAACTTCCTCAAAGACCCACAGATGAAGAGATACACATTAGGAAGTATATTGGGCAGGAGAGAATACAGAATAGACTAGTAAGACCAGAATAGACAGAGAGCAGAATGGGAAGGAAACTGCTGAGAAGAGACAAGCAAAAGATTTGTCAAGTGGGAAGGAAGCTGCGGTGAACAAAAAGACAAAAGGAACCAAGCAACCAAAGACAACTTAGAAGTGAAGGGGACTCATTTCTTTAGGGTTGAACTTTAAATGACAGGATGATGGGAAAGGAAGAGAAATAAACACCGATCAAAAGCTATG